TGTACATTGTTTAGGATGAAAAATGTAATCTTTTTACTTTTCTCAGATTTTCGCATTAATTTATCAAGTTGAAAACAATTTACATTGATGATCCACAAAAAAAGATCAATTAACTATGAAGAGTTGTTTCGTACTAGTTTTAGATTCCTCGAGCTCTTATCACATGCGACTCAAGAAGTTTCATGTATAATTATCGGTACTAAAGTATTGATCCGCTGAGTTAGAAACTGATTATCCACTCATCAAACATTTGGAAATTTTTAATGGTATAACGCTGGTAACTTATTTTTGATTTGTTTGATTAAGGTTGTTGCTTTTCCTGAAAACATCAGAGGATTTGCCTAGATAGCTATCATTGATTAAATAACTGTTAATATTAGGTGAGATGGCTTTGTGGACTTTTCATTATCTCTTGATATAATTAGTCGTGATACTTTATTACTCAAATGAAATTTTAACCAATTTTTCACTTATCGGAATACAGACTGAAACCTATCTGCTTCCAAAACGACTCAAAGATATAGCTTTATAAATGTTATAAACAGTCATCTATAAGGTTGCTCAGCATAATCTGTACAATGTATGGAAAGATAATTGAATGTGCCGTAAGTTTTTCTACATAATAAAACAGTTCCTTGAGTATATTTTATTGTTTGACATAATGTTATTTGTTTATTTTATGGATAATTCTGGATGTTAGAAAACCAGTCTAACATTTGAGATATTTGTTACTGTTGTCTCTGGCCAAAAGAACCATGAAATCTGTACGTCATTATAAAAACATAACCCCTATTATTTTGTGTTCATTCAAACAGTAAGTCTGTCAGTTTAATTGTGTACTTTTATAAACATATTTGTTTATTTGTGATGTGATAAAATCATGTGAGTGCATAATTGGAGGTAAACATTTTCGGTCAACTGTTATTAAATGATCTCCGTTTTTATCAGTTATGTGCAGATTTAAGAAAACTTGGGTTAGAGTAGCACAATTTTTCTTTTTAAATTTCCCATTTCTCCACTTGACTTGAATACAAAAAAAGTAAACAGTCTGATTACCTCAAGTTTTTCCAACCTTCTTATGAACTGTACATGCTTATGAAGTTGAGTGGATAACTGATACTTTAGTTTTTAAAACCGCCTTAGCCTGTGAGGGATGTAGGATACTGAACTACAATAAGTCATGCAATTAGAAAAGTTACATTCTAAGGTGGATAAAATGGTCTCCAGAAAAAGAGAATGTAAACAAGTGAACGATCGATAAAAAAACCTGATCTAATTCAGTTTTCTTTCAATGTGAAGCTTATCAACAGAATGTTTATAAAAGCGATAGAAATAAATATTAAAATCCACCTTGAAAGATTACTGGTATCACAATTTTATATCACGAGCTAACAAAAACTTTAGAAACATTAATAAAAATGTAGTAGCTGGACAGCTTAAAGGATTAGTTTGTGTTTTTGATAATTAATAATCTATCAGGCCATCAGGACGCAGTCGCTGAGTGGATAATGCGATGGCCTTTGAAGCAAACGATATTGGGTTCAAGTCCCGGAGTAAAAATCAAGTCTAGGATGCAGGTACGTCAAGCTGAAGAGTTCTAAATAAGAAGAAACGCGCATCCTGGAATCCAATGCTAGCCACTACCCATCTTTGCTTATATTAATAAACATTGTTTATTACTTGAATGTATGAGAGCAGCGTTATATAACAAATTAACTGACATTTGGCATGTTATCTATTGAATTCCTATGCAATCGACTACTTGGATAATATTTGTCGCAATATCTATGTTATGAGGTGTTTTATGAATTTTTTAAACATACATGATAGTTTAGTCCCAAATTAAAATTAAACAAGTCAGGTAATGAATGTCAATTGACAACAGATCATCATAAAACCGGTATAGTAACTGAAGCAATAATATTGTTTGAATAATAATGATGTAAATAAATGAAACCACTAAAAAAATTTTTCTCTGCCTTCATTGTTCCGAAATCTAGACGTTAAAGTGTTTTGGAATTGCCAACAACTTGGTAGGCAAACCATAGATTTATGCATATATATATAACACAATGTATGTGCTAGCATTAGTTGTTCTTTCAGCTAACTTATGCTTGTTGCCCTTTCCCCGTGGAGAAGCATAGATCGCCTATCAGCTTTTTCCATCCAACTCTGTTCTGGGAAATTCTTTCCAGTTGTCTTCAGTTGCTATCCATCCTTTTCGTGTCTTCTTCCAGTTCTCAGCACAGTTTGTTCATTGACCCTCCTCTTTTCCGTTTCTCTTCAAAATTCCAAGTAAGCGCTTCACCCTTGATGCAGTATGATGATTTCTGTGATGTATGTCTTATCTACTTCCACCGTCTTTTCTTAATTTCCCCCTTCATCTGGATATTGGTTTGTTCTCTCCCACAGTAGACTATTACTGATGGTATTTGGTCAAAGGATATTGAATATCTTGCTTAGATAACTAGAGAAAATGTTTTATAAGTTCAATTTTACATTTTCCTAGGCATAAAACATATGATTATGCCAAATAAGATTAGAATTATGTAATTTTTTTCCTAAAAACGTTTCCTAAGTAAAAGTAAATGCTAATTTAATTTTTTCTTCTTCATTTTAATAATGTGAATCTTTTCTTTTTCACTTTCATTAACTTTGTTCTACACCTTTATACAATTCATCTACAAAATTTTATGGAAAAAAGAACATCAATGACAATTAAAGAGAAAAAAAAAGTTACACAAAGACAGATTCCAATTCCTTGGGGATAATTTTCAGACGTTCATTCAATGAATAATGTAACTTTTTCTTTTAAAAGTAAAATAATCACACAAAAAAGTCATGCTTTCATCTATTCAGAAAGGAAAAAGAAAACTATGTCTTAACTTTACTGTCAACAACAATTATGAATTGAATATTATAGTTTGGTTGTATATAAAAAAATTAGTAATTGATTCTTCATTTTCTAAGCTATTCGTACACAGTACTGATGTTTGAAAGATAAATTATTAAACTATTTGTGTATCTAATTCATAGTAAATATATTTCAAATGTAGCGGACATGTTTTGATGATGATGATGATGATGATGATGATGATGATGATGATGATGATGATGAAAGGCAGTAAAGATTTTAAAATGTTTATTTAATTTAATTGTAGACTTGTAAAAACTGGATCTAGTTGAATTTTAATTCACTGACATACATTGATTAGATTAAAGCTGCCTGTGTATTTCAATTGTTAGTTATTATTTATTTGACTAAAGATTTACGTTTATAGAACTATGATAGTTATTGAAATATTGTTTACTTACACCCGTTACCATCCTCTCTCGTGTAGAAGCAAAGGTCCATTAAACTCTGTTCTGAAAACTTTTTCCCAGTTGTTATTCATTCTATTTGTGTTTGGTTCCAATTCTCAACACAGTTTATTCTTTGAACTTCCTCTTTTGTATTTCACTTTAGGATTCCAAGTGATCGTGTGCCTCTTGGTGCAGTTTGATGATTTTCTCAGTGTATGCTCTATCCACTTTCTTGAAATATAATATATCATAAATTCCCTTTCAAACTTTCATAGTAAATTTAACGGGTTAGTGTCAGTTGTGTTATTACTGCAATGTTCATACATATATTATGTATTTGAGACATCCCTAACTGTTGTGTAATTTTATATGTGAATGATTCAATGTTGATTGAAATATTGTCTGACAGAATGAAAAAAAAGTTACAGAAAATCTTTCCAGTTGGCGAGAAAATAATACATCACAAATCTAGATTAACAGATTTCTGTAATCAATGGAATGTATCAAAGAAGTTAACCTAGAGTCAATACAAAAACATATGTATACTTAAAAGTTTTGAAAAAATCCATTGAATTTAACTGTGATGAAGCTTATACAAGATAAGAAAGATTAAATTGAAATAATTATATGTTATTAAATCTAGTGAATATATTTTTATTGATTTCAACCACAACAATATCCACTGTTGATCTATATGAAATGTAATTAAGGATCCTCAGGTTCTTCATTAATTACAACAGCATTTATTCTTGAAAAGCGATACCATGAGTCATCATCTTTCAGTTAACCACAAAATAAGTATTAATATCGGAAGGGGTTTCTATAGATATTATAGTAATTTCAATAGTTAAGATCATGAGCCAATTGAAGCTAGACCACCATGAAAAACCTGGAAGCACTCGACGACTGTTTCGTCCTATTGTGGGACTCCTCAGCGGTAATAAGTATTGACAATTCCATGAATTTCATCCCATTTGAAATTAAAGTCAGCTTTCAATGAATATTAATTTTAGTAAAGTTAGATTTTTAAAAAAATCGCTTTGTGACATAAGAGAATAAGCAATTAAATTAACTTCATTTTATTGATTATTTGAATATTCTTTTCGTTGTTTAGGACTGGAATTGATCAGTCTCTTGTTTGCATATGTGCATCCTGCACGGATTGTTTCAACACTGTTATTGAGTCATAAGAATCGTTAAGAAGAGATGAATAGCTAAGTGGATAATGCGATGGCGTTCGTGACGAACGATAATAGGATAAAGTCATAGAGTAGATCTTGGGACAGTCATTTGACGAGTCCCAAATAGGACGAAACGCGCGTCCTGGATTCCACTGATGGCTACAACCCATCTTTGCATAAAATTCGAATCACTATTACACTATTGATTTAGCCTAGTTATTGTAGCTATATGCCGTGTTTTACTTCAGAGTTGACAAAATTGTTATTTTATGCTATTATAACTAGTTTATATGATTGTAGTTATTACTTTGATTGTTTCAACTGACTATACTAGCCTGTTCAATCTTCAATTAGGTCAATGAGGAGAAATAAAATACAACTAATAGAAAGTCATCATATCTTCTATTCAACCAATCAGGTTACATCTTTCTGATTCTGTTTTTTTTTGTTTTACCTCAGAATTCTCTTACATGTCTATATTTGTTATCCCTTACCTATAATTTTATGTGCTTTGCCAAATAGGCAGTTTTTAAGATAAAATAGATAAATATACATTAAAATAGTACATTAACTTATTGGGGGCTATTTTTGAACTATTATTATTATTATTATTAATATTCATATCATTATTTGTTACGTTATATAGAAATTAACGGATATTGTTTATAATCTTGCAAGGATTTATAACGAAATATATGGATAATTTATGTATGCACAACTCCTTATGGAAATCTTATTGCTAACATTACCATAAATATTGTTACAAGAACTATTTTCAATAATTATCTGTGAAGTAATCTTCTATGAAGCCTATGCTGGGTTCTTCTGCTTCAAGCCTCATGAGTGCATCGAGTAGTGGAAGCACTGGTAGTGCACAAGCCTCAGCTGGTCAACACACTATAGCAGCTACACTTACAGCCGTGCATAAAATGGATTCCGAATTACGTTGCCCATCTTGCAGGCGATTTTTCCAATGTCCTTTATTGTTACCATGTGGACATTCCCTGTGCAATTTATGCGCAGCTGGAGCTCTACTCCCCGCTAGCGAACCAAGCATAGCGGCATCGATTGCAGCAGCGCTGCACTTATCAACAGCTGAGACATTTAGTCCTGCTAGTGGTCCTCCTCAATCCTCATCCTCGTCTTCATCGACAACAGGAAGTAGTATAGGTTGTCCCAGTACTTCTAACTCACAAGGAAACACACAAATTATGGGTTGTACTTCCAACATACCTTCAGATTCTGATCAAATGAGTGTTGTTAGCGAGACGGATTCTGGTGTAATTGTTAGCAGTCGACCAGGTAGTTATGTGGGAAGACTACCCGTTATAATATGTTCATCAACTTCAGGTTTAGGTCCGAGTCAAACCTACAGTATCTCTTCATCTTCAATAAGTCAAGTTTCAAGTGGCTTAATATGTCCCATATGTAACCACGTCGTTGGTCTTTTTGATGATAAGGGACTAAGTCATCTCCCGAGAAATCGTGCTCTTGAACGGATAATATCTAAATTTGTAGGCCCTGATCAATCACCTCATTCACTAAAATTGAGTGCAGACTTGGAACCATTTTTATTAAACAATAACACAGACCCAATTAATAGACCAGGTGGACCACTTTGTCAGTTATGTGAAGAACCTAATATCCCAACGGAAAATCCATTATCTTCAGAAACCAATAAAACTGAAGTGAATGAACAAAATTGTTTAGCAACATTTTGGTGTGAACAATGTGAAATATTCTATTGTACACGATGTCGTGAAAAATGTCATCCAGCTCGTGGACCATTAAATCGTCATGCATTACATTCAGCAACTGAAGGTGTAAAAATAATTAGACAAAAACAACGTAATCAACCTACACCATGTATGTCACATTTAAATATAATACCAAATCTGTATTGTGTCAATTGTCATATACCGGTGTGTAATGAATGCATAAGTAATGATAATTCACAAACATTTGAAACACATTCAAAACATGAAATACTCCCATTGATTGGAGTCTGTAAATCACGGAAAGTAAGTGTGATAATATTAGTAAATCAGTTGTACTACGTAACAGTTGGATATTTTATGAACATAGTATTTTCAAATTTATTTTTTTGAATTTTAAGCGTATTTTTATCAGTGGCTATGAGTGTTGAGTTTGGTGAACCTCTTTTACTTTAAAGTAGTTTAATATATTTTGAATTATAATGGAAAAAAATGACAAATTATGCCAGTTCGAAAGTTTTAAACGTATAGCTAAGCAATTATTTAAATTTTAAAACAGACAACACGATTAGCTAAGCAGATGTTGGGCGGCCTGCTTGAGCATCTGGGCTACCTGTTCCTGTCATCTAAATATTTCAACAAGTTATCTATTTTTGTTTGTTTTAATATATCATTATGTATATTAATCGCATAACCCATCCTTGTGCATTTCTGAAAAGTTTACAACCTTTCGTTGTCAAAGTTACTAAAAGCTCAATAAGAGATAATGTGGTCGCTGGCAATATGCAGAGAAAAGAATATACATTATTCAGATGTTTATTTACTGGACTGCTAACATCTAACTGGCTATCACTCAATATTTATCGTCAGGATCGACCCAGAAGAAAGAAACGGAAACTTGTTGAAATACTTTGTGCTAAGAATTTTATATTGTACCGAAAATATAATATTGAATAAAGCTTATAATAATAATAATAATAATGTTTTATATGATCAAGAAGTAATATTCTTCCGGAAATAACAGCAGCAATGAGCACTGTATAGTAATTTTTCCCAGTCCACGACTCATCAGAAGCATACAACCATAAAAGACAATTCTATTGGCATCCAAATTTTGCGGTAACCATAAAGAAATATAGGTGTTGAAGCAGAAATACAACAAAAGTCAACGAACTAGCTAAATTTTAAAAGTCAAATCATTTGATTCTGAGTAAGTAGTTTAAAAGTATCATATTCACTAACAGACCTATATGTTACAGATTTAATCTTATGCTGGGTAGTCAAAATCTGATGACCCGTTTTTTCAACTTTATTTGACCTGTCCTAAAACTTATTTCACATCCATTCAGTGGTAACTACAATAGATTCATAAAAAAATGAATATGATCTTGTTTTTCACCACAGAGGTTACCATCTAGTGATTCTTTTTTTTTAAAGTTTTTTCTAACGTAATTACAACTTTAGTAAATATTTAAACAATATACTACTTATTTGAAAAAACTTATTGTTTTATACAAAAAACGATAACCCGACTCAAAATTAGTTTCAATAAAAAAAGTGACAAAATTTGGAAAAAATTTTATGTTCTATTTTCATCGATTTTCTCTTCTGATGATTCCATGATTTCTATTATATTGACTAACAAAACTTATGATTTTAAAAGTGAATGATAATAATTCGTTTTTTTCATTCGCAAAATCACTATTTAATTAATGAATTACTTACTTCCGCCTATTGCCTTGAATGGAGGAGCATAGGCCACCTGCCAGCATTTTGTAACTAATCCTATCCTGAACAATCCTTTCCGGTTCTTTCCAGTTGTTAATCCTCCTATTCATATCTGCTTTCAATTCTCGAAGTAGTGTGTTCTTTGACCTTCTCCTTTTCCGTTTCTCCTCACGATTCCAAATTAATAATTGATTCGTAAAGTAGTTTGAGGAAAGCACCCAACTGCGTCACAAGACAAGCCCTCACATGGAATCCTGAAGGTCAGAGGAAAAGAGGAAGACCAAAGAACACATTACGCCGAGAAATGGAGATAGACATGAGAAAAATGAACCAGAATTGGATGGAACTAGAAAAGAAGGCCCAGGACAGAGTGGGTTGGAGAATGCTGGTCAGCGGCCTATGCTCCATTAGGAGTAACAGGCGTAAGTAAGTAAGTAATGTAGTTTGACGATTTCTGTGATGTATGTCTTATCCATTTCAACCGTCTTTTCTTCATTTCCTCTTTATCTGAAAGTTGGTTTGTCCTCTCCCAAAAAAATTTAATATCATGGTACATAATGAATAGATTCTACAATTTACTTAAAAATTCATTTATCTAAACTTTTTTTGTCCTACTGTTATCATTATAAGTTATAAAAGAACCTGAAGACTACTTATATAATTCCATATGAATAACTTAAAATCAATCGTTTCTTTTGCATTTTCCAATCAAAATATCAAAACTATACAATTTTAATAAGAGGAAAGGTCAATAAAATATAACTATCCATTAAGTATAATCTGATATTTCTCTAACCAATACATATCAGTTCATCTTAAGAGTGATATCAGTCATTATTATCATCAAGATTCATGATAAATATGTCTTAGTTTTCGGATCGATTTCTGAAGAAATGAAATAATTGATTAAAAATTAACTTACTTTTTTTTCTTTCAACTTTCTAATTTTTTTTCTGTTACTATTCACTTTTATAAAAATCAGACAAATGAATTACTAGACATAGATTAAATGTTCTTTTCACCTTGGACGAGTGTTATCCTCTATTCATTTTTGAATGTTTATTAGGAAAAGTATTTTAGTGCAGTTATTCTAGATCTGCATTTTTTTTTCGTGATTGTTAAAATCTGACACTTTCTAATCATCTAAAGTTTGCTCTGAATCGATTCAGCATCTTATTACTGGTCAAAGAAAATAAGAATAAATATGGGAAAATTTATATATGATAGTTTTAGATTTAATTTAAACAATAAAGTGAAGTTGTTCATCTGAATCATTGGATTCCGATTTAGTAATCTAACGTTCTCATTGTCTATAGTGATTCATTAATGTCCTGACTTTTATCTAGTGTAAGGTTGTGTGTTTGTGTGTGTATGAATTCCTGTAAGGTTCCAAACTTGTGCAAAACATCTGTTTAGTTTTCATTCTTCATCGATAAATCTTCCATTGGTGTCAATTTATGATGTAAACAAATATAAAAGTAACCAACCCGAAATCAAACATCATAATCAGTCACATATAACAAATGTACAGTATTGATATTTCTATAAAACAATGAGAAGATGGAATCGATCTGAAAAATGTGATGTATTCAAACAGTCTGATCACACATATACCTGTCAAGGCATTTTATATGAAAATTATTAAAGGTCAGCTAAATGAAGGTTCATGTAAGCAAAGTAATAATTGTAAATAAAGGAGAGAGAAAAGAACTAACCTCGTATAGAAAGAATAGAAGATTATCGCATTACCCCAGGCCATAAAATGGCATGAGCATTACCAGGGTAAATTCAAGGTTAGGACAAATTGATTTTGCACAATTACATCATGTTTTTCAGATCAACTCCGTCATCTCAGTGATATTTCTCATTTGTACATTTGTGAATCATTCAATACACTGAAATTCATTGTTGCTTTATATGTATACAATATTTTGCTATATATATCGATGTTTGCTTAATAAAATGCTATCTGTTATCAATCTAATAATGGATAATTCATAGAGATATTCCTTTAATTACATTACATTCATTAAAACAACTATACAAATGGAGATATGTTAATCAGCAGATTGATTTTCTTACTCATAACTTTTAGTAAATAATTTTAGATTTAAAGGTACCACCCAAACATTCGATTAGAATTCATATTATTGAGAGCGTTTCTGAACAATTACCTTCTTAATAAATACTATTAAAACAAAATAATTTTTATGTTAATATACTGACAAAATCAGTTTAGGGAAGTGACCCTAATGGAAAAAAAGGTTTTAATGGAGTTAATGTTTCCGTTAAAAAAACAATCTATATCAGTTACTATTCTATACCAACTATTGATTTTCTTCTACATAAGAATCCCTCCAAAAAAATGACACGGTCTATGAATGTTTAAAAAAAGAGGGGGAGGGGAAGCACATCCTAAAAAATATCAAAACGTTTCCATAGTTCTTTATTATACAATTTTTTAAATAAATTAAAAATGAATTTTGAGTTCAATTTTTTTTGTTTGATCCTAAAGTTACCATAGTTTATCCTTATTATATTTTTAAGTCCTTATTTCGCATTAGAAAAAAAATTAGATTACGTCAGTGACTATTAGCTTCTAATATTCATGAATATCAATATTTCACTAAATTGTGTGATATTTTCTTCTGTCGGATAATGATTATCACTTGAAGTAATAATTATCTTTATTACCAAGTTTTGTATATTCGAAAAAACAACTGATGAATATTGTTTCTAATAATAATAATAATCTTCTAGATTGATTTTTACATAACATAAACGTTGGTCACATCTTTTTTTAATACACAACATAATAGAGAATAGCTGAATTTCTTTTTAACGAACTATCGAAATATTTCTATAATATACTTAGTCATAAACTAAGACTTTTTCCTATTTTTACTTTATACAATGTTTCATTGGAAGAAAAAAACAAACAACCAAACCATAACAATACACAGAACTGATAAAGTATGTATTCCGCTTTTTATTTTATGTAATGTTGATGTATTTCAAGTATCAAGGGACATGAATTCATACTGATCGTTTTAATTCTATTATGAAATCATATTTTATGTGATTTTAGTATAGACAATGATTTATGTATATTTGCCGACTAGTATATACATATATAACTTCAACCATTGGTTTATTAAAACACATCAAACTATTCAACACTATTATTAAACTGTATGAAATTAATTTTATTTCAGTCAAAGCTTATTTACTTATAGATATTCCAAGTTTATTTATGTATTTTCATTGACTAAGCAAGAAGAAACTGGCTTTTATATGATTTATTATGTAATACATAAATTACAGAGAATTTTATTAGATATTAATATCTTTTTTTTATTAGATTTATTGAACATTACTTCAAATAATGTATATGTTCAGTTGGACACGAATAGCATTATGAATATTTTAGTCGCTTTTATTCAATTGTTAACTGATGAAATCGTATTAAATTCACTTGGTATTGTTTACTTGAATCTTCCCACTGATGTTTAAGACTGAAATTGATTAGTCTCTTGTTGGCATATGTGCCATTAGGTCACAAGCTTTATAAGTAAAGA